ATATTACTGGAAATGACACTGCCCTAGTCAACTCTGAATTGTTCCTGCCAACTTTTACAAGAATAGCAGTTGGAGCCACCTGTCTGGGATTTCCTTTCAGGAGATAGGGAAGTTCTCCATTCCAACAAAGGGTGTACTTCAAGGTTTTTTTTTTTTTTTTTTTTTGCCATTGTGCAGGGATATTTTTGGGGTGGTGGTGGTTAGGAAATGTTCTTCTCAAATGGATATGTTTTCCTTTGTTTCCTCTGCTAGCAAAGGTCTTTTGCTAAGTATAATAATACCTATTCTGTATGAATTTCATTTGTTGCCAGTTTATTTATTTATTTAGCACACTTATATGCCGCCCCATTTGCCGAAGCCTCGGGGCGGCTTACAAACATAAAGTTGTAACAGTTGAAGCCTGGGCTCAATTTAAAGTGCTTGTTTTACCATTGTTGTTGTTAGTCAAGTCGTGTCCGACCCCTCGCGACCCCATGGAGAACATTCCTCCAGGCCTTCCTGTCCTCCACCATCTCCCGGAGTCCATCTAAGCTCACACCAACTGCTTCAGTGATTCCGTCTAGCCAACTCATTCTCTGCCGTCCCCTTTTTCTTTTGCCATCTGTTGTTCCCAAATTTAGGCTTTTCTGCAGGGAGTCCTTCCTTCTCATTAGGTGGCCAAAGTATTTGAGTTTCATCTTCAGTATCTGGCCTTCTAAAGAGCAGTCAGGGTTGATCTCCTCTAGCACTGACTGGTTTGATCGTCTTGCGGTCCAAGGGACTCACTGGAGTCTCCTCCAGCACCACAATTCAAAGGCCTCAATCCTTTGGCACTCAGCCTTCCTTATGGTCCAGCTTTCACAGCCATACATTGCAACTGGGAAAACCATAGCCTTGACTATATGCACTTTTGTTGGCAGGGTTTATGTCACTGCTTTTTAGTATGCTGTCTAGATTTGCCATAGCTTTCCTCCCAGGATCAAGCGTCTTTTAATTTCTTGGCTGCAGTCCCCATCTGGGGTGATCTTGGAGCCCAGGAAAATAAAATCTGTCACTACTTCCATTTCTTCCCCATCTATTTGCCCGGAAGTGAGAGGATCAGATGCCATGATCTTAGTTTTCTTAATGTTGAGTTTCAGGCCAACTTTTGCACTCTCCTCCTTCACCCGCATCAAGAGGCTCTTTAGTTCCCCTTCACTTTCTGCCATTAGGGTGGTATCATCTGCATATCTGAGGCTGTTGATATTTCTCCCGGCAATCTTAATTCCAACTTGTGATTCATGCAGCCCTTATACAGCCTTGCCAAACTCCTTTCTCAATTTTGAACGAATCAGTGATTCCGTGTCCAGTTCCCACTGTTGCTTCTTGACCTGCATATAGGTTTCTCAAGAGACAAATAAGATGGTCTGGTACTCCCATCTCTTTAAGAACTTGCCACAATTTGTTGTGATCCACACAATCAAAGGCTTTAGCATAGTCAATGAAGAAGAAGTAAATTTTTTTCTGGAACTCCCTAGCTTTCTCCATGATGCAGCGTATGTTGGCAATTTGATCTCTAGTTCCTCTCTTCGAAATCCTGCCTGTAGTTCTGGTAGTTCGTGGTCCACATACTGCTGGAATCTAGCTTGTAGGATTTTGAGCATAACTTTGCTAGCATGTGAAATGAGTGCAATGGTGCGGTAGTTTGAACATTCTTTGGCATTGCCCTTCTTTGGGATTGGAATGTAAACTGACCTTTTCCAATCCTGTGGCCACTGTTGAGTTTTCCAAATTTGCTGGCATATTGAGTGTAGCACTTTTACTGCATCGTCTTTTAAGATTTTGAATAGCTCAGCTGGAATACTGTCACCTCCACTAGCTCTGTTGCTGCTCAGACTTCCTAAGGCCCATTTGACTTCACATTCCAGGATGTCCAACTCGAGGTCAATGACCACCCCATCATGGTTATCAGGGACGTTAAGCTCTTTCTTGTATAGTCTCTCTGTGTAATCTTGCCACCTCTTCTTAATCTCTTCTGCCTCTGTTAGGTCCCTGCCATTTTGGTCCTTTATCATGCCCATCTTTGCATGAAATGTTCCCTTCATATCTCCAATTTTCTTGAAGAGATCTCTGGTCCCCCTATTCTATTGTTTTCTTCTATTTCTTTGCACTGTTCATTTAAGAAGGCATTCTTTTCTCTTCTAGCTATTCTCTGGAATTCTGCATTCAATTGGGTGTATCTTTCTTTTTCTCCCTTGCCTTTCACTTCTCTTCTTCTTTCCTCAGCTATTTGTAAAGCTTCCTCAGACAGCCATTTTGCTTTCTTGCATTTCTTTTTCTTTGGGAAGGTTTTAGTTGCTGCCTCTTGTACAATGTTGTGATCCTCCGTCCATAGTTCTTCAGGCACTCTGTCTATCAGATCTAATTCCTTAAATATATTTGTCACCTCTACTGTATATTCATCAGGGATATGATTTAGGTCATACCTGAGTGGCCTAGTGCTTTTCCCTACTTCCTTCAATTTAGGCCTAAATTTTGCAACAAGAAGCTCATGATCTGAGCAACAGTCTAGTTTTTACAGTCAGTATAGAGCTTCTCCCTCTTTGGCTGCAGAGCACATAGTCAATCTGATTTCTGTGTTGACCGTCTGGTGACGTCCAGGTGTAGAGTTGTCTGTTGGGTTGTTGGAAGAGAGTGTTTGCTACGACCATCGTATTCTCTTGACAAAATTCTACTAGCCTGTGCCCTGCTTCATTTTGTACTCCAAGGCCAAACTTGCCTGTTATTCCAGTCATCTTTTGGCTTCCTACTTTAGCATTCCAATCCCCCATGATGATAAGGACATCGTTTTTTGGAGTTAATTCTAGAAGGTGTTGTTGGCCTTCATTGAACCGGTCAACTTCATCCTCTTCAGCACCAGTGGTTGGGGCATAGACTTGGACTATTGTGATGTTGAATGGTTTTCCTTGGATTCGAACTGAGATCATTCTGTCATTTTGGAGGTTGTATCCCCGTACTGCTTTTCCTACTCTTTTATTGACTATGAAATCTATTCCATTTCTTCTGAGGGATTCTTGCCCACAATAGTATACCTGATGGTCATCTGAATTAAATTCACCCATTCCTGTCCATTTTAGTTCACTGATTCCTAAGATGTCGATGTTCAGTCTTGTCATCTCTTGTTTGACCACATCCAGCTTGCCTTGATTCATGGATCTTACATTCCAGGTTCCTATGGAGTATAGATCTTTGCAGCATCGGACTTTCACCTCCAGATACATTGGCAACTGAGTGTCCTTTCAGCTTTGACCTAGTCGCTTCATTCTTTCTGGTGCTACTAGTACTAGCCCTCCGCTCTTCCCCAGTAGCATATTGGACACCTTCCGACCTGAGGGGCTCATCTTCCGGTGTCATATCTTTTTGCCTTTTGGTACTGTCCATGGGGTTTTCATGGCAAAGATACTGGAGTGGGTTGCCATTTCCTTCTCCAGTGGATCACGTTTTGTCAGAGCTCTCTGCTATGACCTGTCCATCTTGGGTGGCTCTGCACGACATAGCTCATAGCTTCATTGAGCTATGCAAGCCCCTTCACCACAACAAGGCAGTGATCCATGAAGAGGTGTTTTACCATACAAAGCTCTAAACAGCTTGGGACCTGGTTACTTAAAGGATCGCTTTTCCCAATATGCACCTATCCACCCACTGAGATCTAGGGATGAGGTCCTTCTCAGAGAGGCATCCCTAAAGCTAGTTAGAGGGATGGCATTTGGAAGAAGGGCCTTCTCAATGGCTTCCCCCATCCTTTGGGTTGGGCTTCCTAAAGGGGTCTGCCTGGTGCTGTCTCTGCTTTCATTTCAACACCAAGCAAAAACCATCCTCTTTCACGGATTTTACAAAACTTGAATTTAAAACCTGATTATAAGTGCTAATTCTGCTCCAACATATCTCCTCCCCTCTTTGTACTTGTATTTGATATTGATATTGTTAGCTGCTTAGAGGGTCCTGTCAGGCTATTGAGCAGCATATATATTTGAAAATAAAGAAAATAAATAAATTTGTGCAGAACAATAGCACAAACTATACTAATTGCTCCTTGGTGGCCAAGACAGTTGTAGTTGGCTGTTCCACTGTACTAGGTGAAAGGGCAGTTCCTTCATCTCCCACTGATATCAAACTTGCTCACACAAGATTGAGGCTTTGTTCAGCAACCAGATCTTCATACCCTGTTACTCACAGCCTGGAGGTTACAGTAAGGGCTCACTCAAGGGTTTTTGACCCACCTGCCCAGATGCTAGATGCTGGATGTAAACCATCCACGAGTCATTCTGTGCCAGCAAGCGGAAGTTGTTTTCCTCCTCCATGCTTAACAGGGAACATTGACCCCATTTCTTGGTTTGTTTCTACATGTTTTCTTTTTCCTGCTCTCACTTTTCAATGAGAGCTGAGTTACTCTTCTTTTTGAGTTTATCCTGCCTCTATATTGGCTACTTATGTTCTGACTGAGCATTATCCTGTGTTCTTACTCCCTGTGGTGAATCTCATAAAAGTGAGATTGATAAGGAACACTGCTATCATCATTTGATGCCAATAGCACTAAGGCTGCTGAGATGGATAGGACTGTTTCTTAGTATTGTGAATGTGAAAGATACAGAGTTGTTTTCCTTTCAGTTGTTCTGGAACATTTTGTTTCTCAGTTTTCTCTTCTAGGCAGATAAGCAGTGAGAGTATTAACAGGAAATCATAGGGCTTCTAGCAGACAAGAAAGGTTTAAAATACATTTTGACCTAGTTACCCAATCACCTCAGGTTAAGCAAGCCAACCGCAGGCCCTGGCTATTTGACAGTAGTTTCCCCCTTCAGCCAGCCATGCTGCCTGGGTTCAGCTGTGCCCAGGCAGGTAATGAGGCAAACACACCCAGGATGCATGCTGGGGATTGAACAAGCCATAAAGGCTTGTTTATGCCTTGGTGATTGTGTAAACCAAGCCTCTCACATCTTGATTAATAGTTATTTAATTAAAGGTGAAGGCCTTGTTTTCCTTAGGGGATGCCAAACAGCCAAGGAACTTGCTAAGAAGAATGGTTGTGAAGGAAGGAAGATGGAAAGTGAAGAGCCATCTCTAAATGAAACCAAAGGTAAATTTCATACTGTGTTTGGCAATGTAGATTTTTTTCAAAAAAAAATAGGCTATAAACTAATACTTTGGCTATAAATTAATACTTTGAATTAACATGTGTGGAATACATCACCAGCAGCTATTGGAAGACAACTCTGAGCCAAATTGTACTGCAGTCATAGAATTGTTTTGCATTACGTTTGTCCTCAGGCATGGTCTGAGGGCACGTGGTGCAGCTGCCTTACTGAAACTATGTGTCTGGTCAATGCCTGAGGACATGGAACAGTACACAGGAACTCGGTACAACACCTTGAGTTCCATGATGGAAGCAGGTCAAGCAGTGATGTGTGGGGGGATGGTTTGCTCAGGGAATAGGGCATTGCAGTGAAATGCAGGAGGGGGCTCAGACCCATCTGCAGCAGAATGGGGCAGGCCATTTGGGGTAGGGCACTAACAGGGATTTTATAGGGTCTTTGTGGGAGAATGGTGTACACACTGATGGTAACAATTTCAGCTTCACAGCTTACAGGTTCCAATTTCAGCTCACAGTTATATGCACCTCTCAAATTGCAGCTGAAGTTACAGTATGATTTCAGAAAAGAAGAAATTGTGAGTGTATAAGAACAACAGAATGGCATTTGTTTCCTGCATGCTTATTTTTTCCTAATATACAAACTGGTAGAATAGATAAAACTCCTTCTGGGGAAAAAACAGTTTGGGTCGTTAGAGACTTTTCTCTCAGTTGTTATGGTTTGTTAACAATCACACGAGCTAATTATATTAAAATGAAAATTGTTGGGCTTTACAAGTTTGGTCTCTAGGAATTCAGCATGGGCTTTAATACTTGTTCGTATTTTGTTTGCAGACAGCAAGGAATCCAGTAACAGCAGTTCACAACCCGTAATTTGGGGATTGTCTTCCAAGTTGACAATACCAGCCTTTCCATTGCGATGGGAACAGCAGAGTAAGCTTCTTCCTACAGTGGCTGGAATCCCTGCCAGTAAAGTTTCCAAGTGGAGCACCGATGAGGCACGTGTTAACAATTCTTGCTGAAGCAATCTGAACTAGACTTCATATCGTCATCTACCTGTTTGACATATCGCTCCTTCAGTGTAGAGCATAAACATATGGTCATGATAAATGTGCTCACTACATATTTCCATTGCTTTAATAGTGTCAGCTTTTATGTTATCTTGTGGTGGATGCTTTTAAACATTTTAAACAGAAGAGCAGAACCACCACCATCATTATCATTGTGTTTCAGCATTACATATAGCATGATGGGAACTTAACTGGCTTTACCAGGTTTCCACTTGGAGGCAATGAGTATTGAAGAGAAACCCTTTTCCATGAGGGGAGGAGCAAGTGACTCAGGCTCCAGTTTCTCTGCCTTGGGGCAGAGGAAAGGAATCTAACAAGATTATGTGTACTTTCCTCCCAGTTTTGTTCTTTCAACTATGTTGAGTTCCAGCATTCGCGCTAGACTTCATTTTTCTGCTGTCCTGCCTTAGGGCAATATGAATGGAGATCATAGGTTCAATACTAAGTATTGTCTTGAGAAATTCAAACACTGACTTCCTTTTTCCCCTTTAACCTTTAAGGCATACAATGACTACTATGAGAAAATGCCTGCATCCAAGGCCACATTCAGACATTCCTTGTCCGCACACAGGCTAAATTAGGAATGGGTAGATGTTTTAGACTTCAATTCCAATTCCTTTTTGACCGTTAATCATCCTAATGTGGACTTCTGGGAGCTGAAGCCCAAAATATCATGAAATTAATTTCTGCCCACATCTCAGCTGGGATATGGGGTAATGCGTATGGACCATGCCCATTGTGTCCTCCAGTCTTCAGCAGAATGTTTGAAAGGGGGTGCACGCATAGGCATTTCTGGTGCTGAGTGTTCCTGGTGGTAGACACCATGTTTCAGTGCACAAGAAGGCACAGTCTGACTCAACTGTGTGCATTTAGCTTATGCATAGAGATATACCTAAATAAGAGCTTAAGAATTATTTTAAATGGCATGAGCAGTGACTGGTCAAAGTAAAATAATTGCTCGTAGGAGCAATGCAGTATCATATTGACTCATAGCTTTTTCATCAAAAGAAAAGTTGCAACCCATTTCTCTGATTCTGTAGACTGCAAACTAATGAATCTGACTGGAGTGTCAGGAAAAGTCACCTGGGAAAAACTATAATTACACTTAGACTAGGCAAAGATGCAGATGAGATCAAAGTATAGCAAGTGATGTTTAACAAACATGTTATCTTGTTGTTGTCATCATGTATTGGAAATAGAGATGCCAATGAAGTTCATCTGAGCGAGACTTAGGAGCTCTATGTGGGTGTGTCATTAGAGACAGTTTGGCAGCTTCAGTTGGGATAGAATGCTGTGAAGAAGAATCCCATTATGTTGAACTGACCTGGAATAAAGAGGTCGGTCTTAGTAGAGCTGTAGGGAGCTTGCTCACTTCAAGGTTCTACTGCTACCTTCTGTAGTAAATGTACAGATATTTTACCATTCTAGGTTAGAATGCTGAGTGAATGGAGAACTTGGTTAACTCAGTAAAGTTGTCATGTTTTTATAGTATATATTGTTAAAATTGGTTGGCAGGTCTCAGAATTCATACGGAGTTTACCAGGCTGTGAGGAACATGGCAAGGTGTTCAAAGATGAAGTGAGTATAACAAAACATTTGTTTGGTGGTAAGGACTCAATATTTTCATGGATGAAGATGGTCTCATGGTTACGTTCAGCATCTTCAACAGTATTTTTTGCATTAAGCTCAATCTTGGTTTTAGGTTTATTCTTCTAAAGTCAAATAGATTTATTTTCAGCGAGGCACAGTTGAATTGGTGTGGCCTGGAAATTGAGTGAGACCTTCTAGCTGAATATTGTCAACACTGACTGGCAAAGAAGTGGTTCATCACCACAGGCTCAGAGTCTTTTCCCCCCAAACAGCAGGGGGAAACATTGCTATGTACCATTCTCAGAATGAGATGGAGATATGACATTTCCAAAGAGCTAGAGGAAAAGGGAAAGTCAGAGTGTACTTAATTGGTTCTACTTATGCATTTATCTTGACTTGAGATACAAAATGCTGCTCTCCATTAAGGTTAAAGGAATGTATGCTGCTTTCAAATTATTATTCATTATAGGAATTTTGCATTTCAGTTTTGATAAAAGAAATCATTAGCCTTTCTCTAAAACGTGAGCTAATTAGGAATTTCTAAAGTCTTTTATTTCAAATTATGGAGTATAACGTTTATTGTTCCCATGTCTCAGAAATGTCTGGCAAGTTCAGATTCAGAGTGTCATTGTTCAAAGAGTGTAATTGTTCCTAGAAGCAAGGGACTCCTCAGTCATACCAGACTTTTGGGTGGCTGGGTGGGAGCAATGTTTTATCAATGAGTTCCATTCCATTAAATTGAAAACATCCTTTTACTGGACATGCTGCATATAAGGGGGCTTAATTCTAGAGGGGAAATTGGCACATACCATATGGATGGAAAAAAACGGATAATGATGATTTCATTTCTATACCTCCCATAGCTGAAGCTCTCTGGACAGTTTACAACTATCTATTACAAAAATGAAATAGATAAAACATCGACAAGAATTAAAATTAATTTAAAATAAAATTAAAATCATTTAAAAATAAAAAGACAATAAAAAAGACCCAGCCTAGAATTTAAAAAACTACCTGGTTCATTGTATTGTGCCCCTGAATAACTAGGGAGGTCTTTAAAGGCCTCTGCAAAGAGGGCTGTCTTAACCTGGCACTGAAAAAATGGCAAATATGGCACCAGGTGAGGCACAGCAGGGAGGTTGTTCCACAGATGGGGAGGCACCACAGAAAAGGCCCTCCCCTAGTTGCCACCCTCCAAGCCTCTTGAGGGGGTTGGTAGCCAGAAGAGGGCTACAGAGGTTGAGTATGGTGTCCAGATAGATTGCACTTGGGAAAGATGCTTCAGTAGGCATTGCAGTCCTAAGTCATGTAGGGCTTTCTTGGTAAAGACCAACACCTTGAATTAGGACCAGTACAGCATACAGTCTTACATGTTCAGACCACTGGGTCCCAGCTGTTAATCAAGTTGCAGCATTCTACACCTGCTGTGGCTTCTGAACTGTCTTCAAGGACAGCCCCATGTAGAGTGTGTTGCAGTAATCTAATCTAAAGTTTACCAGAACATAGATCACTGAAGTCAGGCTAGGTGGGGGCGCAGCAGGGCCACCAGCCAAAGTTGTAGAAGGCATTCCCAGCCACCAATGCTACCTGAGCCTCAAGTATCAATGATGGACCAAGGAGAACCCCTAAGCTACAAACCTGCTCTTTCAGGTGGAGAGAACCCCATCTAGATCAGGTTAGAACCCTTCCCACCACCAATCCAGTAAAAGGATTTATCCATCAACAGCATATCAGTCTTGTCTGGATTGAGTTTCAGTTCATTAGCCCTTATCCAGGCTATTATCGTAGCCACACACCAATTTAGCACATCTACAACCTCACCTGCCAGTGATGAAAAGGAGAAATACAGCTGCATGTCATCATACTGATTGCAATGCACTCCAAAACTCCAGATGCCTTCACTGAATGGTTTCATGTAGATGTTAATAGCATGGGGGACAGAACAGATCCCTGAGGAACTCCAGACTGGAGAATCCATGAGGCTGAACAGTATCCCCCAAGCACCATCCTCTGGACACAGCGCTCCAAGTAGGAACAGAACCATGCCAATACAGGGCTCCCCCCATTCCTACCTCAGCCAGCCACTCCAGAAGGATATAATGGTTGGTGGTATTGAAAGCTGCCAAGAGATTGAGCAGTATCAACAGGGTCACACTCCCCGCATTTTGCTCCCAGCATAGGTCATCATACAGGGTGACCGAGGCTGTTTCAGTGCCAAAACCAGGCCTGAACCTCAATTGAAATGGATGCAGATAATCAGTACTTGGAACTGATTTCTGGAACCTTGTGCAGGAAAGGAATATTTGCTACCAGTCTGTAGTTGTTCAAATTTTCTGGGTCAAGGGGCAGTTTTTTGAGAAGTGCTCTTACCATCATCTGTGAGAACGGTAGCATGAGATCACTCTCTCTTGCAAAGGGGCTGATGGTCTCCCTGGCTCAGCCGGTTATCCCTTCCTTGCTGGCTTTTATAAGCCAGGAGAAGCAAGGATCCAGTGCAGACGTGGTTACATGAACCTGTCCAAGCACCTTATCCACATCTTTCAGTTGTACTGACTGAAACTCATCCAGTCCAGACTGGACTAGACTGTGCTGTGGATAGCTCCATCAATTCCACTGCTGTGACTCTAGAATCTAGAAGTCCTGGAGGTTGCAACAGGTTTTTTTTTGTTCTGGAAGTGCCCAGCAAGTAGGTTACAGTGAACCAAAGATGGTTCTAAGTTGCATCTGGGTCAGAGTGTAATAGGTCACAGACAACTTTGGAAAGCTCCACTGGGCAGCACAGAGAGGATTGAATAGAGGCAGAGACATGTTTTTTCTTTGTTGCTCTAACTGCCTCAAAATATACTTGACTGTAGGCATATACCAGGTTTCTGTTGCATTCACTGGGATTAATCTGCACTCCATCCATCTCCGAAGTTGGTTCGTTGCTCTAAGTTCCAGGATATACCACAGAGCTTTATGAGCTGTACAACAGACAGCATGCTTAGGAGTGATCATGTCAGCCTCCTGGATCATCTTTGTATTCCACAGACTGGCCTGGGCTTTAACAAGAGTGCCAGCCATGTCAGCTGGAAAACCCCCCAGAGCCCTCTGGAAACCATCTGGATCCATTACCCCCCCCCCCCCCCCGGCACAGACCACCTTAATGGGTCCCCCACCCTTGCAGAGGGCAAAAGCTGCTGTAAATCTGAATTTTAGCAGGTGGTGATCTGAACAAGACAAAGGGACTGAGTCAAATTCCCTCACACTTAGAACACCATCCTCAAAACTGCCCCAAAAGACCAAGTCTAGAGTATGCCCTGCCAGAGGCATTGGGCCAGTCTCATGGTTGTCATGGAGATCCTGAGATCCTGAACCTCCCTAGATAGGTGCCTTCAGCATGAATGCTGAAGTCCCTAGGATCAACAGCCTGAGAGATTCCAACATCACATCTGAGACCACCTCTGTCAGCTCAGGTAGGGAGACTGATGGGTTGCAAGGTGAAAAGTTCACCAGGGGAATCCTCAGTCTTGTCCACTGGCCCAACACAAGGTGCAAATACTCCAGACTAGTCATCTGATGGACAGAATGCCCGGAGAGAGAGCTGGAAATTCCTATAGACCATGGTGAAACCCTCTGTGGTTCTCATGTATATCGTGATGCTGAACTAAGTACCCAAGTGGGCACAACTGGGAGAGACCAACTCCTCCCTATTCACCCAACCAGGTCTCAGTAATGCATGCAGATTGGCTGCCTCATCCATGATTAGATCATGGATAAGGGAGCTTATTCTTCACCTATCTGGCATGTAGAAGTAGCATGCAGAGACCTGAGAGCCTGCTGACATGGGGCCGGATCATGCTGCAACCATTAGCTGTCTGGACCGCACCCCCCTTATGTGGCCATTTCTTCTCCCAGTACCAGATCTCCCTCACAATGCTAACTGGGACTCCCACCATCTCTCTGCTTGGCCCCAAAAGCATCCACCCAAGCATAGGCCCACAGAGGGGAAAGGTAGTGACAGACAGGCACCCTCACCCTTGGGGCATCCCAAAGGGGCACACCCCCCTTTGGTGTCACCTTTTTGGGGGACACCCCTGCTGGGATGACCCACTGGTGGCAGCCTGCCACCCAGCAGCAGGCCTGCTTTTGTGCTGAGGAAGGAGGGCTCCTGGAATTGTCAGGCCAGCTGTGGGCACTCAGCCCTGATGGACTGTGCTAGGGCTAGGAGGGAAGCTGGAAGGCAGCAAGGAGGAGGCAGTTGCAGCAGAAGGTCTTAAAACACTGCATATCTCCTTGAAAACTGGTTACTTATAAACATCTACAACACTGGTACTCATTCTAGTTCAATCCTATTTCGCCAGAAATATTTTGACCTTAAACTGATTTTTTTTTAAATTCAAACTGTTCTTGTATGGGACCAACTTAAATAAGATTTTTATATAGAGTTTGTATTAATTGTTCAGTACTATTAATTTTCTTTTCATTTTTGTTTTTAAGCAAATTGATGGAGAAGCTTTCCTGCTAATGACCCAAGCAGATATAGTGAAAATAATGAGCATTAAACTGGGACCAGCCCTGAAAATCTTCAACTCAATCCTAATGTTCAAGGCTGCTGACAAGAGCTCTCACAATGAACTCTAATGGAAAAGTGATGACAGGACAGGCCTCTGTACAGCTCATGTTTTATTTAAAACACAAAGATGCAAAAGAATCATCAAGGAAGAACTCTCCAAGGGGAAGAAATCAGAATGGGTTAAATGTTCATACTCTCCAAGAGCCAGGGCAATTGGACACTTCTGAGAAGTGTTTAAGATTTTAAGCAAGATATTTTTAAAGTTGCATCGGTATGTAATATTACCATCCTGGTGGCTCTAATTTTCCCACAACTAGCCGGCCTTAATTTGATTGAAAAATAATTAATTAATATAAAATATTAAAATTATGGAAATAATGCTTTTCTAAGGAGTCACAAGTATGTACTTCCTGTATTTATCAATTCAACTTAGTGAATTTTACCATTTTCACAACAAGTTGTTTACACAGTTTAAAAGTGGGCTACGGTAAGTTAAGGAAGACAATTCTTCAATTTTGCACTGCAGCTCAAATGGAAACCTTTGCTTGGACTGAGTCTGATTAAGCTATTGTGAGGAAACATTGCTGGAGATCAGTGCCATGGGTTTTTTATTTTTGCATGATTGAAAAAATAATGACTACTTTCACCAGCATATTTAGGATGACGTTATTAAAACAAGAACCAAAAAAAATCAAGTTCAACATCTATGTAAAACTTATGTTATGTTACATTATAGTGCATTAATCCACAGTCTGTTAATAGAAGAAAAAAATTAAAATGCATAAAATAAGGGATATAGTAATCCTACTGGTTAAAAAAGATCATTGAGCAGGAAGAATGCATTACACACAAAAGGAGATGTAAGTGAAAAGCCAAGTAAGATAGTTGTGCGAGAGCTAAAGCAATTGTCCTCTTATTTCTAGAAGTGGCTTGTCATTTTAGCATGTGCCATAGGAAAAAACATGAAGCAAGGTAATTAAGGATTAGATTGCATTGTTCTTGTCAGTTTTCTAAGTCTTCCTCTTTTATATATATTTTGTTCAGATTTTTTACATTTAGAATTGCATCTGCTTTGTACCTGCAACACCCAAAAAAATTGTTGGAGAACTTGTGTATGGCTCATTTTTCATGTAACTGGTTTGTACTGATACATGTCCTTATTCCAGGCTGCATGTAAATTACATTGATTGCCGTGTGCAGAATTTAGTACTGGACACTCAACTCAGTGTCTCGGGCGTGAGAATACTGTATCAGTTTCATGACAGAGCAGGACATTGATCTAATCTGGAAACTGCAAGCATGAAAACTGATTAGCAGTGGTGCCTGGTAATCTCAGATACTACAGTAGTGGGGGAAAACATTGATAGGATCCAGTCCTATTCTGGTAATGCACAGAAAGATGTTGAGTGTGGTTACTTAACAAGGGTGACACCAATGAGGGTTGAAAGTGTATACTCCGCCCATTTGTTTGCCTGCTATCCAAAGGGCAAAGGATTGTTCCATGCAGCACACTTGTTAACTAAAGAGAACCTCATTTTCTCTCTGACTTTTCGGGGGGGATTTACAGGGTTTGGGTACAATTTTCCCACTTCCATCTGTTCTGTAAATTTCTTTAGTTGTGTCAAGGTGGAATGTGCAACAATCAAGTATTTATTCATTGGATGCAAAGCCAGCAGCTTTAGAAATGAAGGTGCATTTGACTGTTGGGTAAGAAAGGTCTCAAAACCAATTGCACTACATTTTAATGAATGTTTCTGTGTACAACCAAGGGGATCCATAAAAAGTTGTGAAAATAAAGGGGCAGGACATTAATTGAAAAGGCCAAAACATTTATATTATACACAATTCACATCACTCTGCATATTTGAATACCATCAAAGCTTGGTAATATGTATGATCCTGTGGGGAATTGTACTTAGGAATCTTTTTTAACCCCAAAGATTAATATGGAAACCCTTGCTCATCATTCCTTTACAAAGTTTTATTTTTTAAGAAATAAATCCATTCAGGGATATGAATATTGTGCATTACAGAAATCAATCAAAATAATGTCAGATAATTCAGGGATTGCTCCCAGCAAGATAATGCCCTCCCAAAGTCATACTGAACATTATTTAATGTCAGTACATTCACATTTTTCCATTGTCTTGGTTTTTACTGAAAGCAACGGCAGAACTTTCACTTCAAAGACGAGAGACTTCAAAAAGTTAAGTGTATTGTGCAGCCCTTGGGGGAATGGAATGCCAAAGACATGATAAGAAGCCAGCAGAGCAGCCAGGGCCATGGCACAATCATCCAGCTGAGCGAGTTTCTCTTTCTCCATGTACAGGGAACACTCACACACATTTATATTAAATGGGTATTTCACTTCTAGTACTGGTGTCGACACTTTCACCTAGCATAGGAAAATAGACAAGTTGATCTTTCCCCTGGCTTGGCAGAAGAAAGACAAGTTTCTCCACTTGGAATAGTATCTCTAGAATTTGCCAAAGAGAACTTAAAAGTATCATTCAAACCTCTGCAAAGAACTGTTTGGCTAGAATTCACAGCACCAAATACCCAATCGCTTTTTGTTTCATGTTTTTTATCTAGATTGTGAGTCTGCAGGCAAGGACCTATGCTTTGCATCCAGTGGCTTCTCTCCTTGCAGGGCATTCCCTAAGCAAAGTTCTGCTCAGAGTGCTCCTGCTAGCAGAAATGTGTGGCGGAAATTATTCCAGCCCTGCCCTCTGCATCGCACAGCACTATCTTCCCTAGCATTCTAGAGGATCCATCAACCAGCCAGAACATTAGTGGGGTCATCAACAAAGATCATCAGCTCCCTTCAGTCAACAGGATTCCTTCACTGGCTCAGAAATCTGAAGAAGCACCTTTATCTATAGAAGCACCTTTGACTCATTCGTGTTGCCTTCTACAATGTAGTGGCCTCTCTAAATAATGATTGTGCATAGTGTGCTTAGGCATGATAGGAAGCTATTGGGAACAGCTGAGTCTGACTCCATAATTAAAGATCAGAAGCAGAGTTTAGGGAAAACTCATTTTACTGGCATTTGTCAGTAATCAAAAGACTAGAGTTCAAGGTGAGAAAAGGGATGGTAGACAGGAATGTTTCAGAAAAGTGGAAGATCCATATTTTTACAGTGATTTTGCAACCTTGGTTAATTGACTTTTTGAAGGCATTGCAATGTGTTGTTAGAATGGTACATTTTTAAAAAATTGGTCTCTAGGTTAGCCCCCATACATATATAACACATATAAGTTATAGCCTACCATTTTCCCTCTTTCATGTTCTTCTCCAATTTATCCTCACAGAAACCCTGTCAGGTAGGCTGTGCTGAAAGCCAATGTCCAGCTGAGAAGCCAGTGAGACTCATTGCCAAGTGGCAACCTGAACCTAGATTTCCTGAGTCCTAATCCCACACTCTAATCACTACACAACACTGCTTTTCTCATTAACTGTCTACATACCTCATCATTCACAGTAACAAACAAAGAGGAATCTTCTCCAAAAACAACTGGTAAGAGTAAACATGTGGCTGTTATCTTCATACCTGGCAAAAGTGAAGAAAAGTTTCAAGTATCAATTAAAACAAGAAGAGTGAAAATTTCTATCAGCAATATTGTAAGGTATTCAGTATCTCTATTTGGATATTTTCCCTGCTTTTGACAATCTTACATGTCAGGATTTTTTTCACACATTAATCACTTCTATAAGAACCCTTCAGTATTTCAAGGATGATTGATAAACCCTCATTAACTAATAAACCATTTAGATTCAACTTTTTAAGAACCTCAAGAATGCTCAGTTGGGACTGTAATTTTATTAATTTTTCTTGGTGGTGGTCTGCAAGTTCACTTTTTTTTCTGGTCAACAAACTTCTCTGTTTCAGTTTTCAAAGAAGCAGCAAATCGAAGCAGGTTACATATATGGAAATTTGCCTGTTAACTAATTTTTGCACCATTTGGAAGGACGAAGGGGTGTGGGGGTATGCAAAAGTCAGAACCTCTGAAAATATTGAGTGGGGCAGGGTAGCCAAATGAATAACTGCACCAAAAGGCAGAATGGGGTGGTTATTTTCTCCCTAGCAATCTTGCTTTTAAATGTTAAACTTACATTTCTCAGTTTCCCGTACCTTTTCACCACTTCCTGAGTCTCTCACTATTCCATAAAGGGGAGATACTAGCTCTCGTGCCCCTTTTCATGACTTGGAAAGGGGGAAAAGTAGCAATTGGAGTGGGAAGGGGGACTGGGACAATGAGACAGCCATATTCTGCCACAAAGTCCCCTGGGGTACCTACTGGGGCCAGCTGGAGGACTGAAGGCGAAGGATGGGAAGAGCAACTCAAGTCCGACCTTCTGTTGGGCATACTGATCAATCTTCTACAAAAGCTCATGCCTTGTGGCTTATGCACAGGGTGACTTAGCATGATGTGTGAACCCAACCAGAACTGTGCCTGCTTACTATTTAAAAACCAGATATCATGGTTTATACCAACATTTCTGAATATCCTCTTCCATGTGTTGTTTCAGACTTCTTTGCAGAACAACATTAACCGGACTGTTCTTCACCAGGTTCGAAGTCAGTATGTGCTCTGAATAGGCCTCCAAAATATCAACTGTTTTCTTATAAATATCCCTGTGTGTTAGGAACTGAAACTCTCTAAAAAGCTACAGCAGGAAAACAGAGCATAATTTAGCCAGCTGAAAATGCATTAATGTGCAATGTTAAAAAGTGAATGTTCTGTTCAAGCCTGCTTTCTAAAGCATCGTCCCGACTCCAAGGTTTGGCTTGAGACAAGGGAGCCATAGGAAACGTCACCTGTGTGGCTCCACCACTGGGATGCCACATCATGCCACTGGAACTCTCTCCAGAAGCTGGCAGGAGGTTTTCTCAAAGTAGGTGTTCCACAGGTGTTCAAGGGAATGCAGGGCACAGACATGGATAACCAAAGCCCAGCACACCCACAGAAATGGCTGATCCTTATGTGTATCTGGAATAGCTAACTCACTTCTATGGTTGTCGGTTAGAGCCACCCCTTACCTCCTACTGACCATGATAAAACATGGTCCCTTCCCTTCCCTTCCCTTCCCTTCCCTTCCCTTCCCTTCCCTTCCCTTCCCTTCCGAGTACTTTATGACTCTGCTGTGCAAACTCCCTGTGCTACTGGCATTATGGGATGTAAGATTGGCTACATTTGGCATCATAGGGAAAGATTCATCCACGGAGAGTTAATAAAGAAATGTGTGAGAAAGCTTTCTTTACTATAGCATCATGCTATAGTAAATCAGGATCAGGATATGATTTACTGCCAAAACTCCTAGAAAAGTTGTATAACAGCTACAAACATGGAGACACATATGTATAACTAGTTACATTATGCAATACCAGACATTACTAAGAAAACACCCATTACCTGGTATGGACATCTTAAGAATGGGAACAGCCTCAAAACATCTTTCAAAGGCATCCTGCTATTTATCATCTTTCTTCTTATTTCTAAAGTTTTGGACATCCTTTTATCCACCTCTGCCCAATTTCTCTCAGTTTTCATATATTCTTCCTTAAACCAGTTGATATGTTCTGTTACTGCAGTGTCAAGTCCTTCACTGTAAATATTCTCTACCTGTCGAAATAGTCAGGCATTGCCTATAACGCAGGGTGCATTTTTCCCTCTCTCTCTCTCTCTCTCTCTCTCTCCCCCTCTGTGTGTGTGTGTGTGTGTGTGTGTGTGTGTGTGTGTGTGTGTGAGAGAGAGAGAGAGAGAGAGAGAGAGAGAGAGAGAGAGAGAGAGAGAGCGCTGTTTACCCCTCCCTCATCTTCTCTTGCTTGTTGCTCTTTGCTTTCCATTAGTTACTATGGGAATAGAAATAAGTACACCACCTACAGAGCTAGCATACACTGCTCCCCAGCTGGCGCCATTTAAAAGAGGAGACAGCTTTGGATCTGGTGGATTCAAGCTATTGTCCCTTGGACACTGTAGGATTGCATCCCAAGGACACAATCCCAAGAGGAGATGTCCATGACCCTGCACACTCCGTAGTTTAGAGGCATCCTATGAAGGGCAGTCAAAGCAGTGCAAAGGCCAATTGTTGCTGGCTATGGTGCTTCAGAGCAGGGCAGAAAGAGGCTGAAGTGCCACGAGGATTCCTGCATCTCAGTGGGCAGCTGTCTAATCCTCCCTCTCCCCAGAATGCCCACTAAATCCTTTCTTGGAGGTTGCTTGTCATGCTGGCTGCAGAGGAGGATGGTGCGTGGTCCCCAGTCTACAGCTGGAGCTCTTTTCTGATGATATGTTAGATATGAGACTCCAAAATAACCATATGACACCCATATGTCTAGGCTTCATGGAATTGATCTGTTACTCATCTATGGGATTTTGGTAAAAGATTTACAAGTGTGTGTTATTTCTCAAAGATCCCCATGCATTGCAATTTTTAAAAGGTCTCCTAAGGTTTTAAACAAAGTATTAAAGATCTCTATCAAGCTGGGTCATATCCTCACAATTTTTCAAATTATGCTACTATCCAAATGAAATATCTGGCCACTCATTAAAAAGTTATTTTCTTTCTAACAGTCACTGGCAATGGCATTTTGATTTCTTACACAAAATAAAGGCAGCCTTATGTTTGCGTGCATACTTTCTATCCACAATTATCAATAAGATGTGCTACAAAAATGGAAACCTGAGGTACATTCAAGTGGAAAAAAGTACTCCTTGTTTATTTTCCAGACTAAAAATGTATTCATTTCTGTCAAATTTCGTGTATTTATTTTGCAGTTCAACTAAAAAAATATGGGGAAAGAACCCACCTTCAAACCTCTTATAGTCACCACAATTAAGTAATTTAAATGTTGATCTTCAAGAAGAGTTGGTAATTCTAAATTGGTAAGAGGCTTATTATAGTGTTACTAAATATAATCTCACCAGTAACTATAGGATAATAGAACTAGCAATTATTGTGAGTAGTTGATAATCAGAATTAGCATGTGGAAAAAATGGGATTGAGGTTTTTTTTTTTAGGCTAACTAATGTATAAGTACATAAATGTTTGAGCTGAATATCTCCGGATGCAGTGCGATCAATTAATCAATCAAATGCACTGGGGGTAGCATGTCGAGGAAAGAAAATTTGAGACCTTCCAGTTCAATTATAGACATAACTACATGAATTAACCCTTGATAATTAAAAGGCATGTGGACAAAGAACATGAATGCAGGGGCAAAAGTCTGCATTTCCTGCCTTTTTAAGCATCGGCTTTTTCAAGAATCCTAGGCTCCAATGTTTTTGGTGTTCCTTCTCGTATTCAGTTCCACTGCAATATTTGCTGCAGGCATTTTTAGAGTAAACCCTTACAGGGTGGCATACTACTGGATTTAAAACCATAAAGTTAATAAAATAATAAAAGCAATGATTAATCCAATAGTAAGATCAGAAGACATGTAATTTATCTTCATGCATACTAAAGTGGAGAACCTTGGATAGGAAGTTCATAAATAGTAACCAACTCTATCAGAAAATGTTTAACAGAGTGTAGGACAACAGAGAACAAAATTTCCTTAATACTTTCTCTATGCAGAGGTCACTATAATCAAAGATTGTTGATAATTCTAAACACATGGACCAGATTCAGACAACACAATAACCCACACTCCAGGGTTGAATATAGGTTGAGTGGGGCTGACATTCAGCTGGGCCCTTGTTGGAACATGACTTATCATGTTGTCTGAACCCACCTGCATTAACAAGCCATGGCTTAGTAGCCATGTACAACCCATCCAGAGAACCCATGATTTGATATTGAGTTATGAGCTGCAGGTTAATCACCAAAAGTTTTAGACAATGCTTTGCAACAACAAAGCATAGTTCAGTGACAACCCACACTCAACCTCTACTCAGCCACTGAATGTGAGTTATCATGTTGTCTAAACCCAATCATTAGCTTGGAAATATATGGGAAGAAAGTTTCCTGCCTCTTCCTGTTCCCCTAGAAGCTATCCAGAGGGTCAGGGGGCCTTCAATAAATGTTGAATTGAGTGTGTGGGTCTTCTGAGGGAGAAGAGAATTACTCCAAACTGGGCATAAGGAAGATAAATTACACTTTTAAAAGTTCATAGAAAGAATGTTCTTACGCTCCTTCTCTATCATCACCATGCTTGGCAGCACATTATTCAAGAAAACTGCATCTTTGGAACTATTATAGAAGAGGTTTTTGGGTTTTGGTGGTTTGTTTTGTTTTTAAGAAAGGCAGACAGCTGAAGGAGAATGGCGAGCAAGGGAAACTTTCCTTCTATAATCTTCCATTATCACCACAATCATGTGCATTTCTATGGGAAGTGAGCTCCACAGAGTTCAGTAATGGACTCCCACTGGAAAGAAGGCACAGATCATCACATTGTTCTCCATTGGAAGGGCTTGTACCACCAGAGAGAGCTCGAGCGAGGAAAGCCCAATTGTGGCATTCCGCCCTCTTTTCAAGTGTATTTGACAAGAACCTATCTAACCCATTTTGATATTCTCTAATCCTCACCCCTCATCCAATCCCATCAGTTCATGATCTGATTTCTTACTTTTGTGTGGCCTGCTTTGATTTCCTCACAGCTATTTTCAGGAGATTTTCTGGTCTGTCCTCGCCTGTGTCCAAACTTGCATTTATTTCTCACCACCTGCTCATCATCTTCTATTGGTCTCCGTACATACTTGAAACGGTCTTTAAGGGCTCGTTTCCATAGAAACTGCATTTTATTTTTTAAAAAAAAAGCCATTAGTGTCTTCCAAGAGTCTTATCTATTCACTCAGAGTATGTTATCGGCTATTCTCCTGCTGAGAGAGAAAGGAAACTTTGGTACATATTTCCAGCATTTTTCCCACAACCCAACTCTACCTTAAAGGAGCTTTTTGCTACACATACTGTTGAAAAAAACATGGAATGACTCCTTTGAAGAGACAGCAAGTCTCTTCTTTGCCTTTGCTTTAAATTAGTTTCACAGATGATAAAATCACATATGCAAGATCATGATGCTGTGCGTGTACCCCAGGCAATAAGTAAAAAGAATCAGTGCAGTTTCACACAGCCATGCAATCAATCTCATGATGTTTTAATTGCTGAGAAATGTGTGAAGTTACTGACCATTACAATTTGCTTTATATTTTTAGCCAACCCATTTCACATGTCCTGACTGAGTACTGGAAAACGGAGAGAAACCCCCAACTTATTGATGATCCATAGTTACCCAGGTTATTGAAACTTGGCTATAGGAGCCACTTGATTAGCATATATGAAGTTAATCCCCACTTATTGAGAGATATTGCCTTGGTAAGGAACAACTAAAAATCCTTAGTTAAATCCAAGAGAAGGCAGGCCATGATGTAAGATCACATTCATCTTCATGATGAACTCCTATTGGTCCTCTTCAGTCACATGAAACCAAACATGTGATGGGAGTTCTGGGGAGCCTGTATGAAGAAATCTGTTCTTCAAAGGGAACTAACTCCCACATGGAAAACAGTTTCTACTCTTAATTCATTATACTCTAGAACAGAAGCTGATGCCAGGTACACAAAATAAAAGAACAGTGTATATTTCAGAACAGTCTTCAAATAATCACATAAATTCGGTTACATATGCAAATAAATAACAATGTCCAACACAGGTCAGCATTCATTTTAATACTTACAAAGCCGCACCCACCCTCATCGAGAAAAGGGTATGCCTGTAAGAGTGCACTGACAACATCATTATATTGCTGAGTGGTGGGGTATCTGTGAACACAAGGCACGCGTGCAGGTTAGATTATTGCCGTGTTCCTGTGCAGTAACTGAGGACTTAAGTGGCAACAAGGAAAGGTAGCTCAACAGCACTCACAATGATTTTCATATCACAATGACTGGTCTTTTTATAGTCATACATCTGCCTCAAGCCAACTAGCAAACATATAAGCCTCTTGCCCTCCCCAGTCACTCACTTGGCCAGTTAGTGGCTCCGCCAACATGCCTAGATGCAAAACGAAGTAACCAGCACCCAGACAGAAGAAGGTTGTGCACTCCCAGGGGGTGAATGTGAAAAGAACGATATCTGAGCTAGAGACAGATGTTATTATTATTCATTGTTTTAATTATCATTTTAAAGAGCTCTCTCAGCACCCTGCATGCCCTTTCCATAAGACATATCTTCAGCTGTAGCTAGCTGACAGCTCTGCTAAGCTGCCGTTCACAGATTTGGTTTTGCATATACATAAAGGCAAGCCAATTGGCTTCAAAATTCAACATCAATCATGTGAGAGCCAATGTGGCATCATGGTTAGAGTGTCGGACTAGGGCTTGGGCAATCTGGGTTCTGGTCCCCATCTAGCTATGAAACTCACTGGGTGACTCTAGGCCAACTGCCACAGAGGGTGTTGTGAGGGTAAATAGAGTATTGGCGACAATGTCAGCCACTCTGGGTCCCTTGCGAGAAGAAGAAGGTGGGGCATAACTGTACTGCAGCAATGATTACAATATTTAGGAAAATGCCTGCAAACATACATGTCGGTTTTAGACAATATAATAACGTACGTTTCCACAGCAAAGCCCGCTTACAGAAACAATTAAATTGATTAAAACAATAGGTTAAATACAATTAATCATAACAATTACAGAAATGTTTCATTAAGAACAGCAGCCAACCCACCAGAGCCTTCTTTAATACAGTAGTCTTTGTGTCCCAGCAGAAGGGCAACACAGAGAAAGCAAACCTAGAAAACTCCCTTAGGTGGGAGTTCCACATCCTGAGAAGTCAACCAAAAATCCTTCTTTTGGGTTGCCACCAAACCTGCCTCTGGGGGACCTTCAGGCTGCACATCAGGAAGACCTTCCTGAGCTGTACAGCAATGGAAGCCATTATTGAGGGAGGCTGCTCTATTCTCCCTAGCCAGAACCACCAGCCAACCAGCATTGGATTTACCAGACCTAGGTTCCATCTAGAAATGTTAGGAATGATTGTTATGTTCCTTGCTCCTTCAGAACTTCTGACGAAGCAACTATCATTAAACAAGCCTCTGCCAGGATGACAGTGGTGGGTCTTAGGTCTTCACAGATGCATTGGCACCTCACAGAGGCCACCCAAAGCACCAAAGCATTACAGAACAACAGCAGTTATTTGCATGGTGTTTCTTTGAACTGGGATCAAAAGCAGGAGAATATTGAACTCCTGTTCTGCTTGTGAACATTCCCCAGCAGCTGGCTGGCCACTGTGTGAACAGAATGCTGGACCAGATTGGTTTGGAATCTGATTTAGTGAGGAATTTCTTACATTCTTAGATCAAAAGTAGCCCATAGCTGAATTCAAGTTGGGCTCCCCATGCTGTTACAAGCACTAGCACCCACCATTTTATTAATTATGCCTCGCGTCCAAGCATTCTTAAAACCAAAGTCCATAGCATGTGGAGATCAATTTATCATCCTTTTGTTAATTAACTCCATGCCATATTTCTCCCATGAGGCAGAATGCTAAAAGCCGTCTTACTTACAGTGATCCTTCAAGGTACTTTGTCATGTCAGCTTGCAAGAATTCAATTATCCTGATTCTCATACTGTGGTCAGGGCACTTCCTCTCTGCTAATATGCATTTGACATCATAAGGAAACTCAGGCAGTGTATATGAATTTGTCCATTGCAATGGTTTGTATCTTGTGAAAACATGTGTCATGTTTTTTCTGTCAAAAACAGTAGAGACAAATCTTACTTCTTTAAATTCTAACACATTTCCCTGTGGGTTTTTCCTAGTCCCATCATTACTTCATTATAAATTGCATCTTTGATAACCAGAAGCCCCTGAAATTGGTGGCATTTAAATATTTTTAAAGTCATTTTAGTTTACATGGTTTTGTAATTTATTCTGCTCTGCCATGCAGAGCGTAGACAGGAAGCCAGTTAAGCCCTCTGCACCCACTTTATCACCGGGGAAGACAATAATGCCAGGGAAGTCGAAGGTAGAAGAAGAAGAAGAAGACCAATTCTGTAAAGGAAGCCACAACCTTAAAAGTGCAAGAGTTGAGCAGGCCTGTCAAGGGCCGGGCATTTTGGAGGGCACTTATTCAGCGGGTTGCCATAAGTCGGAGACTTCATGCAACAATAATAATCCACTTTACGGATTCAGTGCATTGCCAAGCACCAGAGGGTCAAGATACACTCCAGTTCAGTAAAGCCAGTAGTCCCGCAGTAATACTCCTTGTTCATTTATTCTTTAGATGCAGATTCTCAACAGTCTCTACGTATAAAGATGTTGTTCCTCTATAATTATATCACTATCAGCTAAGGCATCTAAAATCCAAATAATGCAAGTACAAGATCACATATATTTTAATACTGGCAGTATTGTGTGCAATTTAGAAAAGCATACATTTTTCCAGGCACATTTTCCAAATATGAACAGCATGATGCATTTTTTTTTCCTTTCTTCATTTTTTGCAAATTGCACCCCAAACTTGATAATATATAGATTTCTAGCTGCAAATTGCAATTTGTCCTTAAAGTATGACTCTACCAATTTTTCCACCTATCTGTAATTGACAGTAAGTCTTTTTAGCACTATGGAAATATTCCTTTGATTGTACCTCAGGATAGAAACTTCTCTAAAATTGGCAGAATAGCCATAAACGTACTTTTGTTTGAGCACTCTTTGATCAATGGATCCATCCTCAGTGCTTTCATTAGGAGAGAAGCAATTCAGATGCCCTGTAGTTAGCTGAATACCAGCAGTCCTATAACAAATACAACAACAAATCAGTCATGGCTCACGGTACAGAAGAGACAGAAATTGCCTTGTTGAGCCAACAGATGAACTCAAAGTGGGCAAGTCTAATTTGCTTCAGTAGAAGCTATTGGGGTGGATATAGATTGAAGCACAAGTAACTGACTGACAGAAGCGGACTTCGCTTTTCAACACAGCATCCTCCACAGCCCTAGAAATGCTATTCAGAAAGCTGAGAAACCAGCTGAATTGGTGGAGCTGTGGTGTGTGCAGGGAAGGGCACCCCTGAAAATTGGATGGAGGCATCTTCTGTAAGTGAAATCTTCCATTCCCAGGAAGGCATATTCAGGGTCCGACCAATTCAGTACTTCCATGTCACAGCTACTCTGGCCAGGGAAAACTTTGCAGCAATGAACCGAAGAGTTGAGTCAGTTGCAGGCTATAGATATTTATGGCCACCTTGGGGCAGGTCTCTTTGTCACCAAAGCCAAACCAAATGTACCAGGAGCGATCCTCTCCCTCTGTCCTCCCTGTGAGATCCTGCTTATTCATCACACCAAATTCCCTATTAAGGAACACATTAGTGAAACCAACCGATCTTTGCAGAAAAGCACAAGTTTCATCAAGAAAAAGATGTCACGGCACTTACAGTAAGAATAGTTCTCTGAGAGCTCTCCAGATTGTTAAATCATCTTAACGTATCTGAATCATAAGACAATCATGGAACCTACAGGCTGCAATGCTTGTTGATATAAAATATGCCTAGCTTCTAGTTACTCTGTCCACATACCTCAGGGCAGCAATGGGCAGATCCCAGACTGGCAGGGTCTATTCTGTTTTTTTACTACAGTGCCAAGGTCTACCAAGTGAAGTGTGGTATGCTTAGAAATGAAGACTTCCAAGCCCAGACATTTGTTATGACTACCAAATCTAAATAGAGGTCATGGTCATCCACATTAAAAGCCACTCTTGCCCCCCCCCCCCCCGCTCCGCCACCCCTATAGGTTTTGCTCCCCCTCTCCCCAATTTTGGCAATATACTGCAGGGGTGGAAGAGAGATCTGTTTTCCTGATGATGCTACTGGGGAATCAGAAATCCTTATCCATTTAGTGCAATTTGTCGTGTGTGTTTAATTTCAGTCTTGAACTGCCCAAAAGGTCACATTTTGTGTCCTGAAAACAATTCTCTTTTACTTCCAAGCCCGGTAAGGTGTTCAGTGGTCAGGGAAAAGGATTCAGCAGATGCCCAGTGGCAATTGTTTCATTTCTGACCACTTTCAGGCCAGCTCAAGCACCACTCATTTTGGAAATTAAACATGCATGAGGCAAAACAATTCATCAGACTAAAATTGCACATTACAACTGTGCCTTATAAACATAGGAGAGATTTTGACTGGTTACCTTCATATTCAAGAACACCAAGTCATCAGCATTCATTCATACTCCGCTGAGCTTCCAAGTCCATGTTATTTGAACCATTAAGTAGGAATAAAAATTTATGAGATTGGAATTAAATCCAAGGACATTTCTGAGTGGGTTATATAAGGACTGTAGTTACGTCGGTTTATGTTTGCAGGGGCTTACCCGCTGGCTTCTCCTTGTGACTCAAAGAAGGGCGTTTCACATGTCCAAGCTGGCCCCTCCGTCTGTCGCTTGCATTTTTTAATCAGGTCCAGTAACACTGCCTGGTGCCCTATTTTCTTCACTAGCTGCTGTACCATCCTGTCATTAAGAGCCAAGAGAGCAGCCCCGCTCACTTCTTCCTCTAAGAGAAGAATCAAGGGATCGTTATATTTTGACTGCCTCCTGGGTGCAGGTAGGTTGATGTTTTGAAGGCAACTAGCAGTACCTGAGACATAAGCACCATTTCTGAAGCTACAAAAGAGAGGCTCTGTGTGAAAATGGGAGTGTGTAATCAGCTGGGCTACACACTAGCAACTGTGCCAGAGTATTGATGCTCTTAGGCAGCACTTCTTGGCTTGGTGGGTTCAGCAGGCAGCCCGTGCTTAATTGCTCTAGAGAGGAGCCGAGACTGGAGATCGGCTGAAGTCTTCTCTTCTACCCTAAGAACTCTTCTCTCCCTCCCCTTCTCAAGCAGCAGGTTGCGGTCACTTCATGGGATGAAAATATACCGTACACATGCCCAGAGCCACTCTCCCTGAACAATTCCTTCAAATGTTCAATGATAAACCCTGACATTAAAAAAACAGTTCAAAACTGAGTTTTGGATGAAATTAAGCCCTGGACTTAGTTCACATTCTTGTTTTAGAAATAGAATTAAAACTTTTCCTGGGCTGATTCCCCCTCCTCCAACAATGTCACAGCACTACTGTGTTATCAATAAGCAGGTAGGAAGAAAACATTTACTATCAAGGGAATACTTTAAAATAGAAACCTATATGACAAGCAATGCAATATACATAATACCTTTAGGGTTTGTAGAGTTTTAGCATACAATAGAATTTATTTCCCTAACTCCTTCCCTGAAGAAGGCTTATCCTTGTTCTGTTTAGCAAATCTAAATCACACTAAATCTAAATCACACGCTAAAATTGCCTTACCACGAAATTTAGGAACCAGGTCCCCTAAGTTTTTCTGCAGCAACCAGTTGCAGACTTGATCAACTGACCAACTTTCCATCTTCAAATGCTGTGACGGTAAATCCCACTACAGAGTTTAAAGATAATCTCAGAGTTAGTCCTCCTTTGCCCCAAAGACCCACATAGCCAGTATTCTTTGCAGAAAACCTCCACACTCCAACTTGATCACCCTGGTTCCACTATAAACTATGTTGCACACACCATTCCTGCCTACTCTGAGCCGCCAGTTTTATAATGCCTTTTTCACCTGCACTTAGTATTCCAGTCTTGTTTTCCTCTGTTCTGAACAAGCAGCTTCTTTCTTTATAACACAGAAACGCTCCCAGATCCCACACCATTAACACCCAGGTTTCCACACAGATATGAGAAAGGTGTGAAATTCACCACCACTATGTTCATCAGGAAATGGCTGACATTTTACAGAAAGAGGGTGATGATGGGGGAATAAAAACCATGCAGGGGTCTCAGATGTACAGTTACAGCAAACGGAACACATTAACTCACTCTGCTCCATGAAGAAACTAGTCAAGGGAATACTTCAGTCCAAGGAGAGCAATAACTAAAAGAGAGAAAATGCAGAAAGTTGCACTCCACTTTTGTCAATTCACCTTCACTAACACGGTGAAGTTCAAGCTATTCCTAGGAACTGCATTTTTAAGCAGACTGTTCACTGGGTCTGGTCCTATTGAACTAGCTTGTAAGAGATACTTGGAACAGACTTTGTCTAGTTTTAACTCTCTGCACTCAGCATTTGTTTTCCATTTAATATATTGTCCCCGCTATCCCGAAAGGCTCTCTGGGCAGTTTATGAAGTTAAAACAAATAAGCAAAGATAAAAATAACAATATCGCAGTAAAAACAGTACTTGAGGGCTGCTAAACAAGGGTTTGTTCTTGGAGGTTGCTCTGCGGCAGGAATGGCCACTGGCATTCATGAGCAGGTTTTTTGATGTTCTTGGTGTTCTTCCTTTCTTTAGCACAACTTTCAACCTTTTATGCAAGCAGAAATGGTGAAAGAGGTTTGCAAGTTTCATGAATAACTTACTGGTCACCTTCGTCCAGAACAACTGTTGTGGTTTGTTCTAGAGGAGAACAAGGCTTTCTTCTCCTCCCTCTCCTCACAGATTGTGATGCCAGTGCCCTAAGTCTATCTGAAGCTGGTTCCAAGAGGAGTGCAGCCTTCAAGGATGGGCAACATGCAGCCTCCCATACATTTTGGCCTACAGTTTCCTCAGCCCGAGCTAGCCTACCTAGTGATGATGGTCCATGTCCCATAAATTGGAGTCCCATAAATTGTCACCCCTTTGCCTGCATGGTCAGTAAGCCAGAACCCTGGACAAGGAACAGCAGGTGCTTGCAGCTGAGCTCAAGTCAGAACCAGAACTGAGGTTAGATAAACTGAGAGCACCCCTCCAGAGCACCAAAGACCTGTCCAGAGCACTGAGAATTCAGCCCACAACAGGAGTTCAGATAGCTATTTTGACTGCAGATGCTCCCCTGCAACTTTAGTTAAAGGATTCCAGAATGCCTCCGGGACTTTCGATCGAGAACTGACCCAGACAGCAGAAGCAGTGGGGTTCCGATGATTCACTACATAGGGATCAAGGAGGGAGTGTACAAATGGCGAAGGAAACAGTCTGGTTCAGAGGTAACACTAAACCATGGTTTAGTCCAGGCTTGGGGAACCAAATCCAGCCCACCTAAGGTCCCACCTAGTCAACTGGGATTCCTTAAATTGCCATGCCCCCATCCTTGTCCCCCTTTTCCTCCACGATCTTCCCTCCAAGATCACCAATAGTACACCAATTGCTTGGTGGCTTCCTGGCATTTCCTCAGGTACTTGTCGTCCATTTGTTTTTCATTCATTTCACCGTCATCCCATGTCCCCCATCGCTTGTCCCCAGCCATGCTGGAATGCTGCCTCACGAGTGGCTCTGAAATAGAATTTGGCACTCCTGCTGAATGAGGCTCCCCACTGCTGGTGCAGCACTGTGTGAATGAGCCTGGGTGAGCTGCAGCTTGATCTTGGTTTGTTTCAATACATCATAGTTTCAATTACCTGCAGTTCCCTGTTTGGATGCAATGACAACCCGTGGCTAGTTTAAACCATGAAATGGCTACTTCCCACTCCGCCTTGCAACCACACCCGGGGTGAAGTACAAAGAGAGGATATATGAGCCAAATCTCATTCAGGCTCGTCTGCATATCTAAACTATGGTTTGGCATTGCATCTGAATCAGACTCGTGAGGTTGTAGTTTAGCTCAGTGCCTCAGATAGACAAGCAGACCTTAACATGTGTAGGCACAGCAATGGTTTCTCATATCCTCACAAATGAACTGATGTAGTGAAGAACTGATGAAATACTTCAAATTCTTGGGTAGAAATCATAACTGAGCTGATCCCCACTTTACACATTCTTTCATATTTCTACATATTCTGCCCCCTGGAATTTTTCTAGCATGATTTTCTTCAAGTTCATCTATTGGGTCCCAAAACTTGAGAAAGATGCAGGGTTTTTTGAGCAGCAAGAATGATTTAGTTACAGTAGCCATGCAGCTCTTCCCGCTGGCTAAGGAGCTACAGAAGGGTGCGAAAAATCATTATTTGTTGAGAACTCTGGTGCAAATTAGAAATCACACCTTTCTGTCACACCTCTTGCTTCTTTGAGAAGATAAGGATTTTTAAAAATCTTCAAAGATAAAATGACATTCAATGCGAAATCTCTTTTATTGAAAGATCAGCCATATTAAACATTTTAAATTCCACATTAAAAGTTGCATCAAAACAGGAAAAAATACTTGATCATTGCAAAGGTGTGCTTTTATATCAACAAAAGTGGACAGAAGACTCTAACACTTCGAAGATGGTACAATTGTAGTAAGGTTCCTATTAGGTACTATGTTGGTTATGGATTCTTTCCAGTGATTCCCTTTTAGGAGTAAGTATAGCAAAGCCATCCTCCTTCATGGTCTCCATTGGAAGCAGACCACCAGGCAAGTCCTTTGCATTTCGGCAGGACTAAGCAATTCCTTCCCTGAATTCAGGCCCATGTTCTCTGCTTCCTCTTAGGATGGGGCCTTCTCCCTGCCCCTCTCCTTTGGGAGTGCAAGTGCCTTTCCTACCTTGTAACTCCCCTCATGCCCCAATCTCTTCTTCTCCTTGGGGCCCTATTTCATGGGTTTCCCTAGCATATTCTGGGAACTACAGTCTACTTCCTTTCAGCTGGCTTGGCTTGAGAATAGCCTCCCCTTGGCTAGGGTGCTTTTCTGAGGGCTAAGCCTGAACCCATCCAGGATACCTGAGCGGGCCAGGTGCTTCTCAGGGAGGTTTGGCTGCCCAGTCCCTGCGAGGGGCCAGTAGTATCTTACACTACCACCTTCCCATTTACATGTCCAGTTTTTAGTGGTGGCCAGGAGTGCACACACCCTCTTGAGACTAGAGGCTAGAGATGTCACATCTGGCCACAATCACACATACCAGTGGTGCTACTTTTGAAAAATGTTCAGCTTGGTCACAACATGACAGCCAGAGTGGTCAGAGCACAGGACTGAGGATCTGGGAGCTCCAGGTTCTAGTCCTGCCTTGGCTGTGAAGCTCACTGGTGACTTTGGCCCACTCACAGATTCTCAGGCCAATCTACCTCACAGGATTGTTGTGAGGAGAGAATGGAGACAAAGAGGAGGAGGATTATTCAAAGGACCAAAGTCAGGACAAAAGACAGGACTGAAACACCAGAACTAAATAACAGTCACTTACAGGGGGCATGTGATGCCCTTGTTCCTTCAGCTTTTCTGGCTACTGGTCTATTTCACAATATAAATTGAAGTGCCTACAGAGTCTTAAGCTTGGGACAAGGAAACGGGAAAGGCAGCCTTCTCCCATGCTAGCTTGCCTGGGTTTTGAAACCTTTGGGGCAGGCCACTGCCAAGAGAGACAGATCTGCTGTGAATGGAGGGAGGGTCTTCCTGGTGGTGGCCTTCAGGCGTTGGATCTCTCTGCTGAAGAAGGCTAGTTTAACCCCTCTTTGTTGTCCTTCCACCAACAGGCAGTGATGTGTTTGAGTCCTTTACTCCAAGTCTCAAGTCAAGCCTCAAGTCTTTACTTTCAAGTCCAAGTTGAATCTCAAGTCATTGCAAGAAATGTTCAAGGCTGAAGTCTCTTCTCAAGTGTCAAGGGCCAACTTTAAAGAAAAAGGTGGATGGTGGTGGGGAGCGTGTGAGACGATGGGAGAGCTGCAAGCCCACCCTGATGCTCCCATCTGCACATCTCTCAATGATGCATTGAAGTCCTTTACTTCAACCATAATTTATTTAAACAAAACTGTATCAAGATTGCGCTTTAGAAAAGTGATTTTCTCGACACGATTGGCTCCCAGCCTGGTGCAGTGAGGTCTCATAATGAATCTGCCTTCACTAAACACTCGCTCAACTGGTGCTGAGCTGGCTGGGACCATAAACACACTCAGAATGGCTGTAGTTCATAATCATAGGTCTTTGCAATGCTTCCCACAAAATCCTAACACATTAATCAGTAATTTGAGTTATAACTATAAAAACACATCTCTGTATCCAAATCAACTTGACCGGAGTTTAAGTTATTTCCAGGCTTTGGTTTAGAATGAGCAAAAAGAGGAAAGAAAAAAAAAAATCCACAGGCTTTCTTTCTAGGAGGGACTTCAAGGTTCATTCTTTCACTGTTTGAAAAATGAGGCCTTGGTTGATTCTGATTTTATTGTAATGGCTGCCCAGAGAGCATTATACTAATGGGTGGCTTTCAATCAATCAATCAATCAATCAATCAATGTGTCATGCAGAAGTGGTGACGTTCCAAAGCAACCTTTTGTTTCAGTGCACTGGTTTCACCTTCTCTGCCACTGATTTTTCCATAGCCACCAAAGTTAATTTTGGGTTCAACACAGCAAAGAATACATAATCATGGACATTCAAAAGTTTCCCATCCTGTCCCTGTGGCATATGTAGCAAACCGGCAGTCACCAAAATGCCAGCAAATCTGATTTCAGTGCTCTTCTTCAAAGCTGTG